AGGGTTTAGGGCTAAGGATTTAGGATTTGAGGGTCATGGGTTCTGGGCTCGGGATCTGCTATCTTGTGAATTTAGGATTTAGGATGTACAGAGTTTGGTATATCAGTATATGGCCTCTTGGGTCTCTGATGCATGCTTTCGGCTTTGGATCCGTGTTCAGAGAAGAATCTTCATTTAGGCAGGGGCATCTTCTTGTGGGCCGGCATCTTCGTCACGAATCCTGTTGGGGCTTGGGCGGTTGTAGCAGAGGAGGGCTCCTAAATCCCCAGCTCCATGCCAGCTTTCCGTACTATTGGTTAAAAGAACCCTAAACCCTAGCTGTAACCCTTGATATAGGAGAGCACAGTTATACAACAAGGAGCTGAAACATGGTATCCCGTGCTTTGCTGCAAGAAGGCTTTGCTCAGTCGTGTGGTAAGATATACCTGAAATGGAGTTTATAGGGTCTAGCAGAAAAGGAGTGAGGGAGCCCGAGTGATCGCAGGGAGGGGAGGGGAGGGAGAGCAATAAATATTTGAAACCTTCTGAACTTTCTTATCATGCGCGCCCTCATGAACCTTTTATGTAGATGCCGGTGCAGGATCAGAACTGCATAGAGCAGCTGATGCACTCGAAGTTCGAGAAGGAGCAGGAATACCAGGCCGCCACAACATTCCCACTTTGAGCCTCAGTTATATGTCCCTAAACCCTAAATCCTAAACCCTAAGCCCTGCACCCTAAACCCAAAAGGTTTGGGAATTGGAGTGGGATTTGTCAGCTACCATCCCCCCTAGCTGACCTGGAATTCAATATTCGAGCTGCAGGCTACACTCCTGAAAGGGCGTTATATGGGGGACTATGTAAGATAGGATTTAGGGTTTAGGGTCTAAACTCCTTGCATGGGGTTATATGGGGAATTATATAGGGGACTGTTAAAGGGTTATTAAAGGGGGTACTGGGAGTTTAGACTATGTAGAGGCTTCGGTTTGGGGCTTCATGTTGGCTCTTGGAGGAAATGTCAAGCTTAGGAAACTTCATGGTTTGAGCTGTTTGGGTCCGTGCACCTTCAGTTGAGGGACTCAGCATGCTTGCTTTGGGGATAGGCCTAAATAAACCCTCACTAAAAACCCTAAACCCTAAAATCCCGAAACCCTACAAACACTAAAACACCTAAATCCTGAACCATGTGGTTTGTGGGCATCTCTGGTGTGCAAAGTACCTACGCAGAGCTGTTGAAGGCGTGGAATCTAGGACCCTGATCCCGAGACACCCCACGACCTAAACCGGTAGCATCCGAAGCAAACTTCGGGCCTTTTAAGCTAAGATGGCTCCAGGGTTTTGGGTTTTAGGGTTTAGGGCCTAGGGAATTTATAATGAGGTTATAGTACATTGGGGTTACAAAGGGCTAGTGGAAGAGAAGATGGAAACTACGGGGATTATATAGAGGTTGTCTTACCCAAAGCGCTCTCAAAAACCCAGTTTTCCATTCGAATTAGTCTGCACGAGGTTCTTCGCCTCAAACCTTAAACCCTTGGACGGTTAGGGGAACTTGGTAAGTAGGTTAACAGCCGGATACCTGGGGCTACTGTTTAAACTTACAGGGATGTAGGGTTCAGTGTTTACTTAGCACCTGCACTCTTCAACTGAGCTTCTTTCAAGGTGGCGCAAGACAGGGAGATGATGTTGCAGAGCCTTCGCTGGGCTTAGAGCATGGATAGGGCTGAGGGTGTGAGGTTTAGTGGAGGCTACATAAGCCCCTCAAGTATTCTCTGCCCAGGTACCCAACAGCATGGCCTACATAGAGGGTACTTGAGGGGTGATGGTTAATATCGATGCTTTCAGAGGTCCAGGGCGCAGGACCTGGGATGGAGACCATATGGTGTGTCGGCCTGGTTTGGGGTCTACCTGAACACAAAAAGTATGTGAAATATTGTAAAGTAATGGCCTTGTAGGCTATCGTTACAGGTTCTGGGCTATTGTTTTATCGACTTTGGGGATTCAGGTAGAGGTGGGGTAGAGGGTCTGCAAGCTTCCTGTTGTCAGCAATTGCTTAGGTGGAACAAGAGACGGTGTGTCAAATGCAGGGCCGACAGTCTAGCAATAACTTAGCGGGATTGTGGAGGAGGTATTTTGGGGATCTATATAGGCCCAAAATACTATGGTCCATATCATTGGGACCCCCAAAAAAGTACCCCTAAGTTCGGGAAACCCTAATCCCTAAACCCTATATACTTCTTCCTTTCAGACACATGGTTAAGACAGTGCCACAAGAGAACTAAAGAGAACTATAGTCCATGTTTATTACAAGACAAGCCTGATGAGAGTTATGATATAGGATGCTTTGGGTTCCAGATCATGTCATACCGCCTTTTACAGTAAGTTTCCGTGAAGGCGTCTTATCAAGAGGGACATTATAACTCCTTACCAACTGTGGTAGCCGTTTCTGTACGGGGGAATATCCCAAGTTATGGTTTCAGCAACACCCTAAACCCTGAACCCCAAAACCTTAGACCCTAAACCCTGAACCTCAACCCTAGACCCTAAACCCATTTGGGATGGTGCCTTGCTCCGCTTCTGCGACGGAAAGTGTTTTCAGGAGGTTGCAAGCTACTCGTCGCGGTTTCTGGGGTGCTGCCGTGCCAAAGCTATGTAGTTTTTGGAGGAGTTGCTATGGTTTTGGGGTTTGGATTGTTATCGGGGCTACCAAAAAGGTACTACATTGGAGGATCTGGAGGAGCTCTACACTCTATATGACCTTTCTTGTTGGTTTTTTTGTGCTACAGTTTTAGCTAATCAGGCTGCGTGGTAATTTCCCTAAATCGGGGGACTCTAATATTGATCGCGAAATACTTTTTTGTATAGGGACCCCCACAAAAGTTACCCCTGATTTTGGGAAACCATCATGTTGGGACATCCAGGATCTGCTCTAAGGCACAGGGAGTCCCCTTAACCCTACACCCTATACCCTAAACCCTAAACCCTGATCCCTAAACCCTGATCCCTAAACCCTAAACCCTAAACCCTGATCATGGGATCCAAAGGCCCCTCCTTCAAAGCCCAAACCTTCCTAAAGAGCTGAAATCCCGAAATCTCTCGAGGATTCAACTTTCTGAGTTGGACCATGACCTCTCGGAAAAGCAGGACAAGAAGTTTAGGGTTGGGAGCTTTTAGTTGGGTCTCCAGAGTTTGGAATTTTGAGTTTTAGGTTCAAGTGTCCAAGGTTTAGGATGTGATTTAGGCTTTGGTATTGAAGAATCCTAAGCCCTAAACCACATTGAGGGATTTCAAGATTTGGGTTTTAACCTGTCATCTTCTCACCCTAAACCCTAAACCCTGGGTCCCTTTCACAGGTCTGCAGCAGGGACCTCCTTGCCCTGAGATTTAGAGTCGCTGGCCTCCTCTGACAGATTTTCTCTCATCTTCCTAGACCTTCCTTCTACCCTCTATTCGGGCCTAAGTACCCACTATTAGGGACCATATATCCCCAATTAAGGGTACAAGGAAGGTCCTGGTTTCCACAGGGCTAATGGAAGGTGGATCGGGCGATCAACCCCCTAGATCTGTAAACCCTGAAGAACACATGCCTGAAGCCGCGTCACCCCTTGTTGGACCAGTTTGTAGTGGGTCACTGGAATACGGACTATGTTCGTTTTGGGGGGAGTTGCTACAGCCCACGTGGATTTTGAGTTTTTGCGGCAATTCGCGGTAGTCTTTACGAATGGGGGAAACCCAACATACTCCCCTAACATGAGCACAAACTCCCCCCACATTTTGCTACGAGAGGAGCAGCTGAAGGAGAGGGAGCTCGAACGCCTAGCCGAGGTCTATCCTTCCTGTCTACTTGGACCGGGTATGTAGAATAATGACCTCCTGTTAACCACCTCCAGGGGTCCATTATATTACAATTTTGTTGGGGATGCGGGTAGGGATGTTTGGGGTCTCGAGCTAAGGTCCTAGCTATGGGCTCTTCTTATGGGCCCTTACCTGTTTCCTGGGTGGACCCTGAATTGGGTTTCTAGGGTTTTACAAAATGCGTGGGCTTTCGAGCTTCAGAGTTTTCGGAGTGTTGGGGATTGGGGGTCCCAGAATAATAGTTGTATGAGCTTTAGTCTAAACTCCTAGGGGGCTATATAGGGGGGTATGTAGGGTTTAGGTTTAGGGTTTTTTGGGGTCCAAACTCCTTGAGGGGGGTTCTTATATAGGCGGTTAGATGGAGACTATTGTTGTAGGGGTTAAGGCGGATACGAGGAGTTTATATGACCCATTATTTTGGAGTTGAAGGCCGAGAGTCCGGGTATGTGGAAGGTTAGAGTAGCGTTTTTGATAGCCCCAGTTTTGCAGGTTCCGGGGCCGACCCTCTCCCAGACTAGCAGAAGCAATAAAGTAACCCTACAAAGACTACAGCTCTTTGAAACGGGGACCATATCCATATCAAGTCTCATGTTGGTTTGGTTGCGTAAAGATTGTTCGCAAGCAAGTTGTCCTCAGGCGATCCACCATAGCTGTACTGCAATCGGTCCCTATACAGTGCTTGTTTTCCACTCTTCGTGGCTGGTGGGACCATGTAAGAGCTTCGCGACTCAGGTTCTAGCTTGGAGTGAAGATGCTTGGGTATCAGGTTCTCTTTCGAGATTCCACCCTGGCTACGCGATAGCGGAATCGTCCTCCACGCTCTTGGCTAGGAGACTTACCTGAGTTGAAGTTGAAGGGCAAACATTTGCACCGAAGTATCGATTCCTGGAGGAAGTAGTTCGTAAAAGAGCAGCGGGGCATGGACGTACCTTCAATTACGGGCAAGAACTGCTGTGCTCATGGCCCAGACCCTTTTGCCCTGATCCCATTTGAATGAAGCGCAGCCACGGCTCCCATCCCAAGCCAATGCAAGACAAAGATACCTGAACGGACATGCTCCGCTGGCCATGCAAGAATGGGCTATCGCATTCTGGGCAGAAGCCTCCAGTTGCTGGAAAAAGGCAGGAGCTGTTAAGACCAAGGATTCTACAAAAAAGTTCCCACATGATGGCAAGGCTGTGCCTAGCTGTAAAGCTTCTAAGCGGGCGCGCTGCCTTCCGTAAGGGAATTGGACGCTTGTGTCTCCATTCAAAAGCGAGGGCTGAGCTGTTAGTTGATGGAGATCAGCAGGGTCTTGAAGCGGCAAGAGAGGCCATCGGACAGTTGCAAAGTGCGGGCTGGACAGTGCAGACAACCTTTTACGCAGCACCGGCAAGGGTCCAGAACAAGAAGTGGAAGGCCTTTTTTCAAGAACCCAACGTGTCGTTCATACCTGTACCTCGAAGCGCAGCTGGTGAGGCGAGCGATGTGGCCGTCGAAAGGGGTTTGCGACGGGCAGCTCAAGTTTCAGATGTTGGTTGCCTGGCGCTACTGACAGCGGACGTTGACTTTCTTGACGCAGTGCGAGAAGTGACTGATCGAGGCATTGATATGTTAGTGTTCGTGCCGCAGACACTGGGACATTGTTCATCACTTGTCATTTTCTTGGCTTCACCCTAATATTTGAAGGCGTGCTCGGCACCCAAGTATTGGATATTCCACGGCCTGATAGTCTACGTATACATTGATTCATTAGCAGTGGGGGCATTTATTCAAAGACTTTCAGATGGCTCTCTAAGACCCTTCTGAATCGTAATGCATTACAAACAAAAAATCAAACACCCCTGTTTCCTACTCCGTTCATGAATCAGGAAATACTGGAGATTCCTAATTGATTCAAGTACGCAATCTGTTTTTCAAGCGATTATATGCATAGATTCACTTATACGAGCAATAAGAGCCTAATAAAGAAGATCGCGGATTTAAACCAGATTTCCTTAAGATCGTTGCATATATACATATATACTCCCTTCCACTAGCTTGGCTAACAACAACAAAAAAAACAGTAAATAGAGGAGACCCTCAATTCTAGTCAGATTTTTCTGGGTCAGCTTGAAGCTACACTCTAGATTTGAGTTCGAAGCCCGCCCAAGGAGTTTGTAAAGTGGAGGTACATGCTAAAGCCTAAAGCTTCCGAGCCAGAACACAAAGGGCCGCACCTGAAACAGCAGCTGTCGAGCCCCATGTTTTGCAGTCAGTGTTGCCTGTTACGCTACAGGGAAAACCTGGGCCCACGGTATTTCTTACTGAGCACACTCGGCAGGCTCTGGAAATGTGACATGTGAAACGGTGCTGCAGCATGTTCAGAGAGAGGGAAGAAGGTTCAAGGATTTTGCCTGACTAATTTGCGTTCTTTCTCAGACGGGAAAGTCGTGAAAGAAAAGCAGACTTGAAGAGAGTGAGTAGCCGTCCGATGTTGTGGACATGTGGCTTGCTCAGCATTCTTAGAATCATGGGCTTCTACGCATGTGGGTGGTTGTCAAAATTATGGTCCCCTTTTGGATCCCTGTTATAATACGGCACCTAATATTTAGGGTACCCAAAAAGGGACCATAATTTTGACATACCCACATGTGAAAGACCTTGTTCGTGGACTAGGGATGCAACCTCCCCGTATACCCTCGATGCTAGGACATGAGCTCTTCAAGCCACGATGGCTTCGAGGTACATAGGGTAGCACATATAGACTAGTCCTCCTCCTACTACTCCTGCTCCTAGATCCTAAGCCTATTCCTCCTACTCCTATCTCATACCCCTACTCCTACTACTTTTCTTCTCGTTCCTACTCCTCCTCCTCCTGCTCCTGATCTTACTCTTACTCCTACTCCTCTTCCTCCTACTGCTACTTTTGCTGCTGCTATTGCTACTGCTGCTTTTTCTCCTACTCCTACTCCTGCTGCCGCTGCTGCAGGCAATAAAGCGTCTGGGAAACGGAAAAGACCCTAATCTTTCTTGACATTGTATTACAACCCCCCTGTGTTTAGGATTCCGTTTTTCATTTCCTGTCCACGTGATTGTTCACTACTCGGGTAGTATGCCTCCCCATGGGACGCCCATGGCTCAAAGCCAGGGCGGCAAAACAAGAAACCCCCCTGTTGTAGAACACCTCCTAATTCATTATTAGGCTGGCCCTTTCAAAAGTGGTTTTCCCTTTGGCAAGTGTTCTTCCAGGACATTAGGCCCTTGGAGAAACTCAATAGCATTCGGCGGGGTTGATAATAGAAGGAGGATATACTAAGCCCAACAAGGAATACAAAGTTACATTCTTTTACTGCGCGATAATTTCCAATCAAGAACCAGGACAGAGTTTTCAAGCATTCGACAATACCGGTCGGCTGGGGTGCAAGTGCGCCCTTTGCGCGATCCAAGCAAGTTTCAGAAGATCGGCCCCAAGATCAGGGCTATCCTCCACGAGCATGGACGTGGGAATGTGGCATTTGCTGCGCCATGGCCAACTTCCGTTGACAACCCGGTTCCGGAAGAGTTCTTGAAGTTGCTGGGTGGTTTGAACTACCGTAAAAAAGACACAGAATATGTTGCGCAGTCTATTGCCAAATTTGGCTTTGTGAACAAGCTGACCCCAATTACTGTCTTTCCGGCACAGATTGGGTGCAACTCGCTACGCAGGCTCGCCATGCGCACGACATATTGGGAACCTTACCGAGACAACCTCGCATTTTTCCTGCCCGTATCCAGTCCACCTAAACCCACATTTCAAAAAACAAAGAAGTATGGGACCATGCTTGCTAAGCAAGTTTATGACGGGGGCGGGCCATTCCTGATCCAAGATTCCGAAATGATGGTTGCGGAGGCCCTAACCAGAATGGGATACCTGGATGAGTTGTTCAATACGGACCTACCTGAGGCTTTGCTGACATTCACAAACATGCCCAGGAACAAGCTGGTTCTTCGCAAATACTGCAATGCTTTACCATACCCTACTGACACTGCTGCTGACGTGGAGCACAAGCTGAGAAGAGCATTTATGTCGCATGACACTTCTGGCAACTGGCGTGTAGCACCCAAAGATGCGGCGGTGCGTCGCAAGCTCTGCAAGATTGGCTTTCTGGCACAAGAAGTTGAGCCGAAAGCTGTGGTGTTGCAGGCGATGCGTGATTTCTCGCGGAGTCGAAATCTTGAGGAGATGTGCAGCTACAACGGCAACGTGTTCCAAATTCTGCGCTACATGGGCCGGTCTGATGCTTCTCAAACCGGGACCGTTGACTTCAGGAGGTAAGATGTTTCTTCGCATGCAGTAGATGGAACGAGAGGCAGTTCGGCGCCATTGCGAAGGAAATGGGAATCAGTGTCTAGTCAGTCGACAAATTGGCATTCCCGATACTGTCCTTTCAATTTAGAGTAATTAGGATTAGACCCCCCATTTGGTTATGGTTGGTCACCAGAGCTGCTATGTATTTTTGTTTCTTTCAAGTAAGTAGCATGAAAACACGACCCACCTTGGAACTTATAAAAGGAAGCGCTGGTTTGCAGTTGTATACTTCGCGCAGAAATTGTTAATGTCTTGTTTGGGGTGGAGTTGGGACGATCGTAAGGGTTGGCTCGAAAATTCATGGTCTTGGTTTCAGGGCTCATCCCAGATCTTGTGCTGCAAGCCTCGGAATTTCAAATCCCATGCGATGCAAGCTTCAAACGTTTGGAGATACCTGAACCCCCAAAGTATGTAGAATAACTGCCCTTTGGGCTATTTCCAGTGGTTTTGGGCTATGTTTTTACCTACTTCTGGGGTTCAGGTATAGACCTTAAAAAGGTTCAAGGCTTAGAGTGCAAGATTGTATGCTAGCTTGACGACACAAGTATGATGCAGTTCTGCACGAGAAAGCTTCTTGTAAAGAGGAGGGCGCAGCCAGAGCAACCACAGTGGTTCTAATTCACTCCTTCTCCAACACAGTCACACCCTTCTTCAAGTTGTC